AGGCCTTTTTACGGGTTTCACGTTTCATCCTCATGGGGGCTATAGACGCTTGGGGTTTTGATCCCTAAACCCTGCCGGAAGATCTGGAATTACGCTACACAACCTACGCTTCTTTATGGCCGTTCTACGCCGCTCTACGCTTTTCCTACGCATTTCCTACGCTTATTTATGGTTGAATTTGCGTTAGCTTTGGGGTGGGCTCGGTGCGAATTTATGGTTTTCTATGGTTCTATGGTTTTCTATGGTTGTTTACGTAAATTTATGGTCATTAGCGGCCAGGGCTGCAAGTTCATCAGGATTGGGATCTTGGTTCAAGGTAGGGAGGCAGGAGTTTTGGGGTTTGAAGGATATTTAGGGTTGACAGATACCATTTGGGTTCAGGAATGCTATAGGATAGATGGCTATATATGGCATCCCACAATAAGACACAGAAAGCAGCATTATGGACATTTACGCCCGGGTGGGTTGACCTACGCACAAATACGCCCGCCTACGCTTCGACCAGAAATTTACCTCACTTTCAGGGAGGGTTCCAGGTATATATAATATAATATTATATTATAATAATTATATTATATTATACATGTATGTATACCCTACTAGTCCAAGGCAGGGGTTTAACGTGTGCGTTAGTACTAAGGCTCTACTTTACTGAAAGACCCTGGTTCACTGGATTCAAGATAGGCCACTGCTGATCATGATGCGCCCGTTGGGGCCCCTCGTGAATGCAAATGCTGTTGATGCAACTCTCATTTTTACCCGGGCCGTCGCGAAGCACTCTTGTTCAAAGTTCTAATTCGCAGCTTTCTGCCCATCGAGCGAAGACGGTATCTCGCAAACTGTATCACACTTCGCTCCAGTTTTTTGCGATCAGAATTGCGAGCCACACCTTGAGTAGCAAAATCCAGTTCGATCTCGAGCACACAAAACCACAATCATATCATATGCTTGCAAACCGAGCGGCTTTTCAGCCACTTCATCGCATCTTCTTCCCGGAATGTGTGGAAAAATCGAGTGTTAAGTCCTCAGTATAGATGAGATTTGCAGTTGTGAAGATTCAACCCCGAACAAACGTCACTCATGAATCACGCCCAGCTGCTGCGGCGCTTCAGATCACGCATTTGATGATGAAACATCTCGGTTGCAATTAGCATGTCGGCGTGTGTCGTCTTGTTTAACTCTGCTTGCGACCGAGCTTCGTGTATTTTTGGTCGTACATGCCAAGCTAGTCGTCCCATCCTGCGAAAGTGTATACGAAAAGACTGCACAATCCGATGCGGACGACCACGTGGATACACCCTGCCTCATTGACATTTTGCATAGGAGGATGTGAAGTCGTAGGTATCGCATACCACACTTGTAAATTGTGTCAGCTGCACCAACAGACCTTAGAAAGCAACAGACTTGTGATTGCGCGAAACACTCGAAGCATAATCCTTGCAGTCTAGGAGCAGGAATCGGCCATGGCTTTCGACTCGATGAAACCATTCGCAAAGGGATTGCTTTGAAGAGCAGTGTATTGCTGGGATACTTAAATGGCTTTCCCCCAGAAACTTGAGACGACTCAATTTCCAGAATCACTACGAGGGACATAGCAGCAGCGGTCGGCGCCAACAAGTTGTCATCAGCTGGCCATGCACCCTGTTGCACAAACCATTGTCCAAAGTCGCGGGTGGGAGTGGCGTTGTATCGCACGGCTCGTTGCATACAATCTCCGAGCCAAAGAGCAATAACTCTTCCATTGTAGCCCTTGTGCCCCATATGCGCTCCTTTGTGTTCCTTCCAGACCTGATGAGAAATAAGAAAAAAGCTCCCCAAGCATTTGTTTGAAACCGAAGACTGATACCTTGAACCTTGCTCCCGAAACAATTCAAACATACTAATTAGATCAGACGGGGGGCAAGGTTCGGAACAAACTTTGTCTGGGAGCATCGGATGCCGGTTTCCTTCTGGTAAGTCTTGAAGTCGCGAAAAGCGGTTACCAAACGTTTATGCAGCGAGAGCGTGGCCGCACAGCCAAAGTATCCGCGGTCTAGGAGGTACATCCTCAGTAGCGAAAATGCCGAGCTTTTTCCACATGAACACGACTGATAATATATCAGAGGGGCAAAGTAGAACCAGTCCCATCTTGACAGATTCCCAAGTTGACATTGTGCAGACTGCAATGGCACAGCATCGTCACATGAAAATGCCGTAGGCCGTAGGGCTATGAGTGGACCTCGGTCAATGATAATAATCTTACATCAAACTTCTAAGCCTCTTTTGCTCGAAAAGGTTAAGCTAATTCCTAAGCCCTAACATTGAACCAACTTAAACACCCATCAGCGACGGCACATATATCTTCATCCTCAATCCCGGACAGTATGAAAGCGTTATTCGATATCTCGGTGGTGGCCCAAGTCGGGTTGTCGGAGACATCCAAATAGCAATGGGTTGCATGTTCATGGTTCTCAGCATCACATCTCCAGCACAGCATCCTTTTTTTCCAGTATCTTGTGAGCCCAAGCTTTGTATAGAAGAATTCCCAATCTCCTTTGATTTCTGTCGTGGCAAACCGACGAGGAAGCTTTTTGCCTGCTGGTGTGAGGCCATCGAAACACAGGTTCAAGGATTCGACAACTGCGTGTATAAGCGGGTTTTCGCTTCGTCGGCCCAAACTGAGATCAGCATCTAGGCTCCACAACAACCATTGGCTCATGCGTGTACTTTTTGGCCGCCACAAAACCAGACTCATCCAAAACCCAGTGATTTTGGATTGATCATAACCTTGTCCATACCGAGCGGAATCACCATACACAGCCAACGGCACATGACTTCCGTCGAAATCATCAGCGGCTGCCCACGGAAAAACTTGTTTGGCATGCACCCAGTATTTCTGCAAAAGTTCATCGTCGATTTGAAGACCGACCTCCTGAAATAAGTACTGCAAAACCAAATGCGGTAGGAGCACCGGGATCTTCACCATGCGCTCCTCGTTGCTATCCTCTTTCTTTCGAACAACAGTCTCGATGAACTTCGGTGCCTCCCATTCACAGTTGAAAAGTAAACAAGTAAGGCCACCCTAGCACCGAAATAAATTGAAAGGAAGCACACTAAGCCAAATCGAGGCCAGGATACAACAGGAAGTCGCAGTGCTCGTGAAAAATCTCTCGAGTTGTTGTGGCCACTGTAGGATCCCAGTTTTTTGAGAAGCGGCGGGAGATCACGGACCCCATCCTTACATACACAACACGAAAACGATCTACAGTGGACCCCAGACGAACAATTCGCGAACCACCACGAAATTTCATGGTCAGTCTCTTCGACGGCTGCTTTGGCCGATCGCATCTCCTTGCCCACAGTGCTCGCCTGCAGCGTAGTGTATGAAGGTTAATCATTCGACTATTATCTAGTTTAGAAAAAGTACATACATGTCTAGTGCAGCCAAAGACGGCCCCAGCCACCGAATCGATTATCTCGCCGATCATCTTTGACTGATCATCATTACTGGAGGCACCTGCGAATCATGCAAATGCAATAATAGAAAGGTCACTGTATGAATGCAACGTTTCACTTGTCGGACAGAATCTGAAGATGAAGCTTTTTTCGCACCATCGCCCGCCGACTCCGTTCATGCATCGCTAGTGCACAAGAGAACAACCCCTGCTTCTCGTGCGAAACACATCTTCAGCTAATCGGCAGGTTTCACCGGCGATGCGAGGCAGCATATAGCAAACACACTTTGCCTTTCATACCGACATTTCCATGTCGATAAAAACCCGTCAGGTCATGTAACCCTTTAATGCACACGTTGATTTCGACCACGGCCTACTGGAACCCACTAGGATTTAAAGACTTATCGTTTTGAGCGGGTGGGTGTACCATCGGGTTCATGACCATCCCCACTACTTCTTTCCAGCCTTGGCTGTCCCGGCTCTCGGTTTCTTCAGGGTCAAAGCAAGCTCAGCCTCCTCGTTGCATGCCTGGGCGGCATCGATTTTCTCTCTGATGTCGGCGTCCTGCGGCGAGATTTCTGGAAATTATGCAACATGCGTATTATTGGAATGATATTTCTCGAACAAAACATCGATCCGAAGATTTCAACACTACTCCTTGGCAGAGTCAACGGCTTGCTGCAACTCGGCTCTGGCTTTTGACAGCTTTCCAATCGTGGCGTCCATGTCTTTCACCAGCGCTTTTCGCAGCTCGGGGCTCCTGACTACACGTTGTTGCTACTGTATGCATGTTACAATTGCTATATTGCACAATCTGCAGCAAGATACATAAGCTATGAGACCCGGACAAAGCGGAGATATCATCAGTTCTTTTCTTCACATTCAAAGCTTTAATCTTCCTGCTCGCTGCAGACAGAACCTGCCACGAAAAAGGATGGCATGTTTAACATGAACTACATAATGAATCAATCATGTGTGCCACTACCTTCGGGCCTTGTTCGCTTCGGATGTCAGCGCCCTGGCCTGCTTCCTTTCCTCAGTCTCCTCTCCTTTCTTGTTCTTGCTCTTTCGCTTCTTGGAAGACTTTTTGTTTTTCTTAGCCTTCTTGTCTTTCTTGTCCTTTTTGGTCTTTTTGTCCTTCTTGGCTTTCTTGTCCGACTTCTTACTGCGGCGCTTGGCATCGGAATCCTAGCATCGTTGGAATGCATGAGCAGTTTAGCAGCCAAGCCTAAGCTCGCAACAATGGCCAGTCGAATGTATGATATCTTGCCTGCGAAGAACTCGATGAGGATGACGAATCATCACTCCCACTGCTCGCATAATCTTCTGCCTGGAAAAGATCCGAAATCTCCACAGCCGACTCATCATACTCCGAATCGTCGGCCAGCACGAGATATTGTTTCAGTCCTCAGTCGCAATCGAACTATTCAGCATTTTCAAACATGTGCCTGTATAGGTGGGTTGGATAATATGGCTGAGCTACCGGGGCATTCCGGGTGCTCCCGGATCTCCTTCTGGCGGAGCTCGGGGTCTGTTTCTTTCCGTAGTATCACAGCATCCACAATATCAGCATCGTTGTCGAAATGCTGAAGCAATTGCAGACGAGTGAGCCATTTTCGGCATCCCAAAGAAGAATTCTTCCTTTTCGATGTCACCGTCTTGTAGATGATGCCATTTTTCCATTTTCCTCCGGTGCTCACGAAGTCTTCGTACAACGTGCTCATCTTCGTCTTGCCTTGGGTCAATCATATGAATGCATAAACAAAAGTTGAGTCTCTAGGCTCTGCGTAGCCCATATCAAATACCTGAGCTGATGGCAATACTTGAACCTCTCGAAAGTCTTCTTGATCTCACCCGGTGTATGCTTGCCTAGGTGTCGGTCGGATAGGCTTATCAGCAAAAATTACAAAAGCAGCAGGACCTCAAAAATCACAAAGAATTCACACTGAGGGATGAACTCTTCACCGATCTGCAAAATCTCATGTAGAGCTTGTGGGCTTTGCGCTTTCTGCTGGTTGCCATCTTCTTGGCTTCGGCTCCTTTGCATCGCTTCTTCAATCCTTTCTTTCGCTTCAGCATCTTTGTGGGCTTTGCTGCGGCCGCTTTGTCGTTTGCATTTACAGAGTTCTTCTTGTTGCTGTTGTCCGGCTGCGTCTCCTCTGTGTGCTCCGGTTTGCTTGGCTTGCCTGCGGGAGGATCGGTGGAAGCACGGGCAGTGGGATCCCGAACATCGGGGCTCGGAGAGGCAGGCTTCGTCAACTTGGCTTTCGATTTCGCCTTTGCTTTCGGGGTTGTTGCCGGGGCTGTCTTGGTCGGGGCTGCTTTGGCTTTTGGGACTGCTTTGGCCTTTGCTTTCGCCTTTGCTTTGGCCTTTACCTTGACTGCTGGCAAGGCCTTCTTGGTTTTGCTTGTAGCACCTTCTGTCGTCTCGGGTTCCGGGTCCTTCTTATTGTCTTGCTCCTGCTGCAGTTGTTCTTGTGCCTCCTTTGCAAGCTTTGTTCGGTCCTCACTGTTTGGGATATCTACTGTCCGTGCCTTCCTTAGGAAAGAAGTTTTCTCCCCACTCATATCCTCGGTTCCCTTTCTGTTGATGCGGTGCGGGGGTGTCTGCATGACTTGTGTGTCAGGAAGAGTCTCGCTGGAAGAGAGGGTAGGGGTCTTTGTCTTTGCCTTCTTCGAAGCTTGCCAGGCTCTCTTTCCCGTAGAGTCGGGACTGGCTGGTCGTTTCGGGCTAGGGGTTTCTTCCGGCCCAAAAGGATTTTGAGCATCTTCTTTGCCGTCGTACCGCCTTAGAAGTATGAATCGCACCACTAATGAGTCATGTCGAACTAGCGATTGCATACATACATACACATGAACGGTCACATACTAAATCATCGCGAGCAAGCACACATGTTGAGAACTGAACTTCGGCTGGAGCCCAGCCCTTTCTCTTCTTGCTTTAGCTTTTGCCAAAACCGAGGCAACGTCCACCATAGCTGCTGCTAGTGTCCCCCCAACAAGCCAGCAGCAATATGATAGATCCTCGAGCAACAGCAGCATAGGCCCATAGAATCGTGTCGTGACAATCACAGATATGAGGTCGCCCGATCAAACTGCAAGGTGTTTTGTCTGGAAAATCGGGGCCCAAAGTTTCACAGTGATCCGGGTTCTTTTCACGGGGTTCGGGGTGCTTTTCACGGGTGTCTCACGGCCTTTTCACGCTATTCTCACGCTACTGTTTTTTCTGCGCTCGCGTGAGTTCTCGTAGATAAACACCTAGATCGCCGAGAGCAGGCTACAAACTGCGTGAGACCTTGCTTTGCTACCCACAGAATTGATCTGGCAAGCACAAGACTATCACCAGCTTCCCAAGCTTAACGTGAAATTTCTTCTGAGGCACACAATTAACCATTGTTATGGAAGGGGCAGCAACCTAGCCTATCGAGGCCGCACAACAAAAGATCCGAAATTAAGCTTCGGATCATAATTGCCAGCTCTGGCCTCCTGCTCCAGGAACATTTCAACATTCCTCAGACATGCCCGGGCCCAATCAGGCGTTTCTTTCATCTGTTTTTTCACCTCAGCATGCTCAGTCTAAATAACGGGAGAATCGCAAATCAGAAACACACGACTCTTGAAGCAATGGTTCCCAGGCTTAGGGCCCAGCCAAACTCAAAGTCCGAACGTCCTTGCCGATCTTTCCAACATTCGAGGCCTCATGAGTGTTCACAACAAGCATCTGTAAAAGCATCTACACGAAGGAATTAATACATCATTTGCAGTCAGGAAGCCATCTCGTGGATGTGATATGAGGACACTGCCTTTCCAAACTCCACCGGGTAGCATTGCGTCTGTTTGAGGCGTGGCCCACCGGTCCTTGTGATTCCATACCATATACCATATATCGATATCCCCGCCGACACGAACAGACTCAGTCGATACTCAGCACAACACACAAGCTTCTTCCCAGTCTTCTTGCACTTTCTGTTTGTAACCACACCTTTGGAGCTGAGGCCCCTTTTTTGTCGTTCCTTCTTCGTCAGTCTGCGGTGGAGAAAGTTCACCCACCTCCTTCAGGCATTTCAAGCTGCTACTGGTAGCGACTTAGTTTTCACACAACCAAATTATTGAGAAATTGAGGGTCAGGCGGGGTGCCCCAAATGTGGGTCAACTTCGGCGAGAAGTGGCCGTAAGAGCCCATCCAGCTGGGCAGGGTCATGTCTCGATTGACACAGTTTCAAAAAGTACAACATGGCTATGTTGGATCTCAGCAGAAACCTTAGGCCCCCAGAAGCGAGCATTTTGCACCGGCACAAATTCCCCGAGGACATCTCGAACAAATTGCATCTGTGGTAGATCGAAAACCACGGAGCTCCCGGGTTGTTCCAGGAACCAATGCACACCCCGCATCATGGCCAAAATGCATAGTAGGACGGTCCGACAAGCCAACCTTAATCCATGACACATTGAAACTCACGGCAATGTTGACAGGAGTCAGTGCACAACCGAAATGAACCTTGAGTCGAGCATCGTATTGGCTTCTTTGATGTACTTGTAGCGCTCTGTGCCCCAAATATTGCTCTTGCAGCGACCACTCGTAGCACGATTCATGAACGTCCATGAACCACATGGTAACCCGGCTGCCAACAGCCCGTCCTCCCTCAATCTGAGGACCTTCAATGTGGCCCGCATAAAGCCGGACCTCAAAGGGACCGTCTCAGAACAGCACAGGGTACAGCATTCACGTGTAGGTAGGCACACACCTCAAACCTACAATACTTGCTAAGTACATCACACAGTCAAGAGGTCGTCTTCGGGCCGTTGTGCAATGTCGAAATAGTCCCTGGCCAGGACGAGATCATAACGAAAGTTCCACACATGCCCAGCAGGTGCCAACAGCTGTAAGCCCCACACGACTTGAGCCCCCGAGAACCTCATAGAACTCCAGTCGCAAAATTACAGAATATGCATGCACGAGAGGGAAGCTAAGAGTAAGGCCGAACCCAAGGTCGATGGCTCGTGTCCCAGCGAAAAGGTCCAGACAATACAAATCCTTCACACGATGCATGGGTTTCAAGCTTCATGGTCAAGGATATGTTGCGAATCCAGGTTCCAGGCCCTCTCTGCATTGGGACCCTCCACATTCTGAGCGATGTAATCGCACAAATGAAGCCTCAGTTCATCATACAAAACCACCGAGCCCTCTAAACTCTATTTTCTAAATCCTAGATTGTGCAACTATGAAAGCGAGCGGCATCGCCACACTAGGCAAAGGGCTCGCCATGTAGCGGGTTGCACAGCCACATCTTGTATCATCCACCAGTCAGCACGGCCCATGCTACGAAATCAGCGGATCGCCACTAATCAAACCCTAGCCCCACCGAAGCAGGACCTGATCCCGAACCTGTCGTTCAAGCAGTACAGTCTATCAGCCGTGTGCATATAACATATTACAATTCACCGGGAACTTCATAGCAGCATTTTCAAGCAGCACCAAGAGTCTGGAATCCCAGAGTTGCGTGCTCGTGTGGCAGCCACAAACAAGCCCTCCCATTCGGCGGCATGCTGCCCCGGGAAAGATCACATGAACAGCAAACGAATATATTATATTTATTGAACTATGCTGCATGGGTCCCTCCTTCTTTTGCTTTCCTTGAAATCTGACTCGATCTGCATCCGCTCATCGGACTTCGCGATTTCTTCAAGCTTTTGAATCGTGGCAACTCTTGATTCCTGATCCAAAGTGCAAACCGGGATCCGTATGACAGTCTCATCAAGAAGCAACCCTAGACTCTAGACCCTAGACTTTCGCAACCTGCAATGCAACATATCGGCCTCGTAGCTTTCACCTTTCCCTGGCAACTGGTCGTTCTTTGCTCCTGCGGCTTCCTCATATTCTGCATCCTGCTGCGCTTTCCTCTTCTTTGCTTTTGCCTTTGGTGCTGCCTCCATTGGTGCATCCATGCTTGCTTTCGCTTTCTTTGACGGCATAACGTCACGGGATTCTATAGCAGCCGGCCTTTTCAAAGCCGCCCCTCTTCCCCTTCCTCTTCCCCTTCCTCTTCCCCTTCCTCTGCCCCTTCCTCGGCCTCCCTCTTCTGGATCCGGATCCTCCGGATTCTCCTTCACTTCTGGCTCTGCTCGCATGGCCTGTCTTGTCATCTTTTGGACCTGTGTATGACACGGATTTTGGGGGAGCATGGGCACTTGCAAGCACTATCGCAAAAGAGCTTTCCCTGGCATGCACTATATACCTCTCTCTCTCTCTCTCTCTCCCTCTCGCTCACAAACAAACAATTATATTATGACTTTATCCCCTGTCTCTCTGTCTGTCCCTCTCTCTTTGTCTCGCACTCTCCCTCTCTCCCAGTTTCTTTCTGCACATTACATATCTAGTATATCTTTCTCTCTCTCTCTCTCTCCCTCTCTCTCTCTCTTTCTCGCTCTGTCTCTGTTGTCTGCATATGCTTTGTTTGTTTCTATTCTGCGTATGTGTTTATTATCTCTCTTTTTTGACAAGAACATCCAGAATCCATGCATGCGAAACCTCGATCGCACTTCGAGGATCCTCCATCTCGCTCTCCTTCAGCAACTTGTCCGCCGTCTCCTGCACCGCTTCCGGGAGCTTCGGCGCCTTCGTCCTCAATGCTTTCTCGTCCTGCCGGGGGGTTATGTAGTCTTGTAGCGCAACCGATGGTTGGTAATACCGGTATGTTCGTACTATGGGAAACTGTCCTTGAAAGTACCCTTGGCAGCATCTTCATCACTCGCCAGCTGTTCGTCGTCCACGACTGGATCCTCCTCTAGTAGTTCCTCTTCATTTTGCTCCCCTGCTTCAGCTTCAGCCTCAAACCAATGATCACTTGTGACGATTTATTAAGTGAAACACCAAATCCCGCACCTCATTCATTTCATCTGGCTGGTCCTCTTCGATGTGCGCCTTCGGGGCCTCCTCCTGGCGTATCGTCTAGACAACTGAATCTACATGACCAACGTAGTCCGAGGAGCCGCTGTGTTGCTCGTCGATTTCTTTTCGTCTTGTATCGCCTAGAGTGGGACAGAGCATAAGCATGTTAAAATTGCTTAGAGCGTGGTCCCCCTGCCTTCTTAGCTTCTCGGATGGCCTGCTTGATGATCATCATGCGCTTTCGTTTTTCGGACTTGCCGCCCCTGCCAGTTAAGCCCAAACACCACATTGTCAATGCAAACAAGCACGAGATCCAGCCTCACCCCTTTATTTCGAGTTGTCCTCTCCTTTGTCCATGATGCGAAAGATCTTTGCAGCTCTGCTTCTGTGTCGAGCCATGCCTCAACGAATAAACTTGGATAGCAAAATTTGGAACACATGCACCCAAAGGCAATGCGGCAAAAAGGCCTCAAGCTTCACCTGCTCCACACCAGGATGTAGACGATGTTCGGTATTCGCCCAATCGAGAGCAGCCTGCAAGCTCATCTGTAACGAAAGGTCGGGTGGGCCCTCGAATGCCGTGCCTTTACCTCCTTCTTGGTGGGATTGGTGGTCGGGAAGGTCGTGACAAATGCCAGGATAAACTCAAAGTTCGGCGATGCCGTAACCTGATCAGCTACGAGCAAAATATACAAAGGTCTTGACATGAATACCGATCACAAACTTGCCTCGGTTTCGGTGGGCTCTGTCTTCGTAACATCCAGGAAGGAAAACATCACACCCTGCCCAGAAAACACTTGAACGTTATAGTGCCTAGGCCTAGATACGTGAGATGCAACTGCCTTGTTCGTTCCCTTGCGCTTGCGAAGGCTGGCAAAGCGGTCGTTGATGTAGCTGGGCTTCAAGAAATCGCTGTAGAGTTCCTGATGGCATACAAGATTGAAGCAGCAAGGGGTAAATGCAGGTGGAGGCTTCAACTTTTGTCCTGGACGAGTGCAACCACATGGGGCTTCGGTTTCGAATCCGGCATTGCGAAAACCAAATCTATTATATTAAGTTTGACCCACTCTAAGCTAGTGTTCCGTAGTCAGATTATGTTGGCGTTGGTTTGGCTTACATTTTGGCCTGATGCGTACCCTAGTTGTGGGGACCGCCCCCTAGAGACTTCGAAATTGGACGTTATTCTTGCTGAGCAATGCATTTTCCAAGCACTCGGAAAGGCTGCAGACAACAAAGGTCACTCAAGACAAGCAATCGCAGCACAATCAGAATACGATCATGTGATGCACGGGCGGGGCTGCACCCGAACCGCCGATGGCGGTGTCGTCCACTTCGTCCAGACCTCTGGTTCAAGACCAAAAATAAGCCCGAGTTCGCAATTTTTCCAGCTGAAAACTCAGGAGCATGCGCTGTAGGAAAGCTTTTGGGCTGCGGAACCGCATGTTGAAAGCGACCTTCGGATTCTGAGCTTCAGAACAAGTCCCTCCCTGTTTGATTTCGACAAAGGTTCTCAGAACCGCACCACGATAAAGATCAAGATCATGCCCGCTGGTCCCATGGCATCCACACCGAGCCCCGAATCATCCAAGAACGAACCCTGCTGAGCTGCTGATGCCCGCTTGTGTGCGTCAATTCAGCTGTTATTTGCAACGAGCAGCTTCTTCGACCTTAACAGCGACAGCAAGCACCTCAAGGGCCAAAGCTTCGAAAGTGGCAAAGCAGCAGTTTAACGGATGCGTTGCCAAAGCATCAGTTTAACGTGTACGTGGACCTGCGGGGTATATATATATATATAATAGGCAGGGAGAGATAGCAGGTTTGGATCGTCAGCCTCGGAGACTGATCTCACTTTGTGCTGCTTGTCGCTGCTGCGTAGAACTCCAATCAACTCCAGTCACTCCAGTCGATGCACGCTTGTTGCGCGACAGCATCAAGAGTGGTGCGCAGTGGTTCGGCACCTTTATCTTGGCTGAAAGACAACGCACGTCGCAGTCTGCTTCAAAATATGCCTATTTGCACTGTTCTGCGGCGGAACAAAGCTCAATTGCAAAATCACTGAAAGATTGGCACGCTCGTTCTCTGACATTGCACAGTGCTTGTTGGGCAGCGAAAGCACGGAATGTGGCTGGGCTCTGCACATGGTGCACATAGTGCAGATATTGAACCAGCCCAGAGGCCTTGCGTGGGATTGTCATCGGTCGGGGCCCAAAATTCCTATGGCTTTACGGTTTAGGGCTTAGGGTTAGCCTTCAAATGGGTTAAGGATATACTAAACCACGTCCAAGGCAGGTTCAACACCCCCCCCCCCGCCCCTTCAACCCTCAACCCCTAAATCCTACAAATCTTTAAACCCTCAATTCAAACCACATCCTAAACTCCATAAACCCAAAATGGCCCTAAATCAACCTCAACCTTGGCCGGCAGGCTTCTCCCAATAGTCGCCGAGTTTGTCAACGAACGCCTTCTCAGCATCCCTTGGCTGGTCCGGTGTAGGGCTTAGTTGAAGAGTTCATAAGCACCAATAAGTGTACAGATTGAGTTTTATAGTGCGTAATATCATCCCAAACAGTGTAATGTGTATCCACTCAGCTACTACGAGGGACGCAGGGCTGTATCGCGGCTTGTGAGGCAGAAAATCTAGGGCCAAAGCAGCAGGGGTTTATAGCACCTTCGGACTTTGGAACGGTTGGGGGATGCAATTATTAACTAAGCCTTCGCCTAGAACCTTAGTCGAGGTGCTTGTTTTGGTCATCTACTTCTCCCTTTTACAGTCGGGTTTAGAGGTTTAGGGTTCAGGGGTTCATGGTCTACTTAGGGTTTAAGTGTTTAGTTAAGGAAGGCACTACTTCTTGCAACGTCTGAATCACGCGAACGACCGAAGCCCAAAATGGCTACCCAAAGCCCCCAAAGTAGTTCCTTTGTGGGGTTCATATATAGAACCCTATAGGGTACTCCCAAAATGGAACTACTTTGGGGCCTCTCGGGTAAACCAAGAAACTCAAGCACCGGTCAATGTCAACGTAAGACGAACCCCCAACATCCTGAACCTACAAAATGCGGTTGATGATATAAATCCTAGGATTCCTTTGAAGGGATCTATAAGGGTACCTTTAAGGGGTTCCTTTAAAGGTTTAAGGGATCCATAGGGTTTTAGGGTTCAGGGTTTAGGTTGATGATATAAATCCTGCATGACCCATAACTAGGAATATACAAGTATTCCCATAGTTTAGGGTCCTTAAAGTAATGCAGGATTTATATCATCAACAGTTATACAACAGTAGCACCCACAAAATATTGAACCCGGAAGCCCCAAAAGTAAAAAGCCAAATCCTAAACCGGAAACACCCGGCAATCCCGAACCTCGGAAACGAATTGATTCATCAAGCCCTAAACCCACCAGCAAACTGTTAAATCCTGACGTGCTGTGCTGAACGTCCAGAGAACCTGAACCCTAAACCCTAAACACTAAACCCCTAAACCCTAAACCCTAAACCCTTCCATGCATGAGACATGGAACAGCTTCAGAGCAGCTGAAGCCATGTCAGGTGATGCGGTCGCATGTGGGCCTAAATTACATGCATAAGCTAGGACGTTCGGTAGGTCGCAGTTTTTGAGCACCCTGCAAACTTGCTCACCGCCACCACAAAGCCATCAGGGCACAAAAGCACAGTGCCACCTAGTCGACTGGTTTAGAACTACTTGCGCGAGTCCTGCCACCCTTAACCCGCTTGAAGCTAAATTCCTAAACCCCCACGCCCTGACACCCACCCCTAAAACGCACAACCCTGAGTTCTGAAACCGGCCCACCCGCTGATGTGCAGGAGGGGGCTGTGGAGTTTTTGGGTTTAGGTTTTTGGGGCTTTAAGGTGTGAGGGCTGTCGGGTTTTCCAAAATATGATACTGGTTCGGGCTTCGCAGTTTAGTGAAAAGGGATTTTTTGGCTTTGCTTCCCTTATGGTACCCTTATAGTATCCCTTAAAGGAACCCTGTTCTAACTATTAAGGCCCCTACATTGGTCCTGCAGCCAGGTATCTCTTTGCCGGTTAAAAGGGAAAGGCGCGTCATCGTCTTCCAGCTTCTGGGATGTCATGACGCGACTGCTTGGGATTTGGGAATTGGGCTTAGGGTTTATGGTTTAGTTTAGTAGGGTTTAGGGATTTACGCCGGGGCCTGATGGGCATGCCATCCCAAAACCCTATAATTAAACCCCTAAATCGTAAAATACTAAACCCGAAACCCAAAGCCCTGTACCTCCTTAGGGCTCAGGGAAGTACGGCTTCACCAACCCCAACTCCTTTTATCTATGGTTCCCTTGCATTATATACAAGTCATTGCAAACGGAGCTTATATACCAATTCCTAGTTGTTTCGGATTCCTTGTATGGTTTCCTTCTGTTATAAGCTCGCGTGTTTTGCTCACGCCAAGCTTCAGCAAAGGGTCCTGAGACACACTAGTACCCTGTAAACCACCATGGACTCGAAAATGACGTCCAACCCTACAGACGGGGAGCAGCTTCAAATTGTCGATGCCTTAACAGGTACACCTTGAAGGAAGAAACTTGTAAAACAAACGATGGGAACCGGCAATAACGCACCCTTCCTTCATGAATCATATACTCTCAAAAAATAACAACCTACATAGCTATGATCCCAAACCCGAGTACTTTATCATTGGGTCCTTTGGACCCTTTAGACCCTAAACAGGAGCCCAGAATTAGAAACAGGAACCACGAATGCCAAGAAGACCGTACCTATATTAGGTTTTTGGGTTTGACTCAGAAGGGCCAAGGCACTGCCACCGGTAGTTGATCTTCGAAGACATCAGCCCCTTGTTGAAACTCTCCCTGTTGTGGGCTGCACCTGGTTTGGGGGTGTGCGAGGTTCGACTAGAATTTACAGGGATCTTCAGAGTCTGAACAGGATCTATGGCGCCCGCGAACGTTTCAGTCCGCGAATTATGCTGCAGACCCCTGGATAGTAACTCCCGCTCGTTCCGACTACCTTACTCTCATCCATGTTCACTTTGGGTCAAGTGCGTTAACTTCGGTATTGAAAGGCAAGCTCTACATCTGCGAACTCCACACCAAAGCCTTGCAATGATGAAATGAGGTGGAGCTGAATTTGACGCAGGACTGGCAGGGATGATAGGCATCCGGAACTCAAGGTTAAACTTCCAGTGGGTTTCTGTTTAGAATGTAGAGTTCAAGGCCTGACAAGCAGCTTGTCTGTGCTTCGTTGCTTGCGGAACGTGCGGATGACATCCTCATATCGAACCTCTAAACTATACCCCCTTAGAACCAGAATAAAAATAGTTAATTTTTCGAATTCTAAGATTCTCTTGGGTGTTATATGAGCAAAAATGAAAACACAATTCCTAAGGAGACTAATCAATCCTGAACTTCATCCCTCACGGCCTCCAACCCTCTTCCGCGCCTTTCAAGCTCTCTTTCTTTGCCTCGGTTCTCTCGTAGTGCCAGATGTGGTCATAATTGAAGCCAGAGTCCTCGCGCGATCAACACCCTAAACCCTCAACCCCTAAACCCTAAAAACATGGAAGTGCGAAGGCCACGAGACTACAGAGGCACACGCAACTTTCCGCGAACGTCGAACCACCATGGACTGTAGACTTTGGTTTTAGGGTTTAGTTTAGGGTTTAGGGTTTGCCCCTTAACCCGACTGTAGAGGCCATGTAATATAAGGATTAAAATAATAAGTCTGGGGCACATAATACTTATGTACAAGCCCTAAAGCAAGTAATCCCAAGGAAGACTGTTTTCAGTATTGAGGCCCCTTAGCCCTATCTGTTTGCAAGATTTCGGCGCAGCACGCAGACCATTGTTGGACAAACAATCTTTCTGATATGCTTGCTACTTCTGCCTGATCGGTTTTACGGTGTGACGTGTGCGGTGCGGATGAAAAAGGCTGGTCCTACAAGCAGCGCGAACATTACGGCTGAGGGTCTCCGGTTAAGAGCTTCGGGTTTAGTCCCCAGACAGAACACGGCAGAGTTTACAGTCTTCGCGGCACTGAC